TACCTGGCCTTTTCCCCAATTCCCCAAAAATGCTATGCATAACTGGGGTGCATACTTTCCAGAATCTTGATGGGGACAGTTTTGGAAGCCATTTCAGCTGACGTCTTTAATTCATTATTTGCTGGAAGCAGAATGGACAAAGAAGGGAGGAGACAAAAATAGCCAAACACATTCACACTGTTGTCTCATTTTGGAGAGAAAGGAATCTTCTCCTGCTGACTGCCGGTTCCCATCTCTATTTTTTTTTTTTTTTGGTGAAAAAAGACATGCATCAGATAGATTTCATCATGCATCTTATTTTCTGCAGGATCACAGACATGTCCAAGGTATCCATGAGTAGCCGGCCTGAGTCTGGCTATGAAAACATGGACCATTTCTCTCTCAATGTAGATCACGTTGCTGAAATGCTGAGAACTATTGAATTTCAGACAGGTGAGGAGTGGCTGGACTGAAACATCTTGCTGGAATGAAGGGAGAGGATGCATCCACTGCTGTTCCTCCATTTGGGTGCCATTCTCTTTAATTTTTTTCATTAACTTACACGTCCCCTGTCTAAGAAGGAATTTGACACTGAGGAGCTGAAACCCTAACTCTTAACTATGTAGGGTGGAAAAGCTTGTAAGGGGGGATTGCAATGAAGGGTATTTGAAGAGTGGAGAAGAAGAAGCCATAGTATTATTGATGGATGGGGATAGATGGAATTATTTAGATTATCTCAAAGAGAATGACCCAAACTATTCTGAACTTGACTCAACAAAATCCCTCAGCCTCCTAAGTAGAAATAGCATAAAATGACAAGTCATTGTCTGGACTATTCAGTGGTTAAACAGCAGGCATTTGAAAGCAAGACTGATGTGTAATCAGGTAATTCTGCAGGTCCACAACATTTATATAGTTTGGGGTTTGAAGGAAATACATATTTGCCTCATGGTGCAAAAATCAACAGCCACACCGCCCAATAAAGGATTTTGTGACTTGTTCAGACAACATACCTGAGTCAGCTAAAAGCCTAATGTCTATACAGTATTTGCACAAGATATGAAGCTAGCATATTATGCAAATCCAGAAAATGGATCAGTAACCAGGTAATATATGCAGTTTAAATCCTTAGTGCTGGTGTATTTGGGAAAAATATAAAAAAAATATTTTACTTTAAACTTTTTTTGGGGGGAAATTTGTACCCCCGTCTCTCTTAAAAGTGAATTCCTGCATGTTGTAAAAGGATATTATTGAGCTAGTTAGAATATTAATTTGGAGAACAACGACTTTCTTTACTCAGAAAGATTAAAGGATTTGGTTTCCCTTTTGCTTGTAGCTTAGAGTTGTTTTCTGAAAAATGTATTTAGAACATGTATGATTTAGGAAGGAAATTATACAAAACCTATACAGGAATTATGCATCACGTGTGGGGAACTGCAGCATATTTTTGAAAGGTCTGTCTACATAATGATAACATTCAGAAAGCATGTTGGAAAATCTGTGTTTAGAGATTCAAGATAGATGAATAACACAAACTTGTCATTTTCACATATACCTGCTTCCCACCCACCCACTCTGCTTCCCTCTCAGATATTTCTGGAGAGGAAACTGAGTCTGAAGGAATTATCCCAGAAGGAAGTGGTGAAGCTGGAGAGGAAGACCATCCAGAAGGAACGGAGGGGCCTGAAGGAGCAGAAGGTGAGTTGAAAAGCTGAAATGAGAGGTGGGTAGAGTTGTAATGAGTAGCTCTGGCCTGGCTGGGGATGCATTGAGATTTTGCCACTGCGAGACCTTGAACAGAAAGTCCAAATATTTTTTTCTTCCCACCTGCTCTGTTTGAGCCACAGTTTTCTTAGAAATGTCCTCCTTACAATCTACTCGATATTGAGAACTTGCAGAAGAAAACATCCTCAGAAATTATTTTAATATATTTAGCTCACTTAAGCACAAGTGAGCTAATAGATTAAAATAATGCCTGAGGGATGGCGTCACATATAATGGAAGTGGGGTTATTTTTGCCCGTGATTTTATAATCACAGTTCTGAGTATCTACTTCTGTCTACTCCTGTTGAGTTAACCTCAGCCTTAGCTGTGAAATGTAGAATCCTAATGTCATGTATCTCTTTCTCTCTAGATGGAGAGAACCTGTCTCGATTCAGACCAAAGCCACCTAATATACCATCTCGGGGTAAGTCCCCCTTCTCCTGGACAGTTTCTTTAATTGGCAGAGAATGAGAGGACCAGGAGGAATATGAAAAGGGATCTTCAGGAATGAATTCCAACAACCAGATGTTCTCTTGATGGGATGCTTACATTGAAAGTTTCTAGGGATGATCTCAATGGAATTTTCTGCCATGCTGTTGATTCTTTTGTGTACTTTACCTGGCACTGTGCTATAGAGAAGACAATAGCCTAGCTTCTTTTATCACAATCTTTTTCAATGACATGAAAAAGGGTGAGGTGGAAACACAATGAAAAGAAATACACCCGTCAGCCAGAATTGGAGGAAGGGAATAGAGCAGGTTCTACTGTTTCCAAAGCAGCAGGAAATAATTTAGCTTCCTAACCCAGAAAAAGTGGGCAGAATTCTGGTAACTTATGAATGTTGATCTTTGGCTATTTTGGATCTTCTTTCTTGCTCCTGAGTTTCTGGGTTTTCCTTGGCAAAGTTTCTCCCATCGTTCACCCTCTTGTTCTCTCCCCCAACTCTTAGCTTTCAGAGTGTATAAAGGAATTAAAAGAAGAGGATTTGTTACCAGGAAAGGAGCTTTAGTGAGCCCATTAGTGAGCTTTCCTGAGACATTCACAAGACCTGGATGAGCTGGGGAGCACTGGCACATTTTATTTCCCACTAGATGTGTATCTTTATTTCTTTCATCAGGACAACACTGAAAAGTCACTTTGAAGACAGAAGCAACTGGAGAATGTTCTGGTCAGCCTCATCCTGTGTTTCTTCCTCCTCTCCAGCAGAAGTTTTTCTTGCTTCCCACTAAGTTTTCTTTCTCTGTGCATCTTTTTCTTGCTTCCTTCTACACTCCTCTTCTTCCTATAGTACCATTTGGCTTTTTAATTTATGGAGATAATAAAGTTGTGAGTTATTTGCTAACAGCAATTCTGGCAAGTTTCATTGGGTAAGAGATTCTGTTGGACCCCTTTCTTTGGAGGAAAAAAAATGAGATCCATAGGCATGGTTGGTGAAATTTTCCATAGAGTGCTCATTCATAAACTTCTGCATTTATCATTCACAGAGGCTACCTGCACTAGTTCTTCACTGTTTTTAAAAACCACAAACAGCGGCTTTTTCCCAATTCATCAAGGGCTGGCTAAAATGTTTTCTCGTGTTGGGAAAAAGAGGGTCAACCATAGGCATGGTTTTAGCCTGGTTTAGAAACACTTCATTCTCAACCCTCCCATCCTATTCTTGGGTTAAGGAAGGGGTAACTTGTCCCATCCTTTGAACTTGGATGAATTTAAATATTACTTTGACCAGTTGCAAATTTACACTGAGTGAGGAAAAGTGGCATCCCTACATTTTGTGCACTGACTCTAGGCTGCATGTACTGGAGGTGGGAGGACAGAACTAGAAACAAAGAATTAGGACACCAGAAGAGCAACAGAATTCCTTGTGTAACTGGGCTGGAACTGACTAAGGAAACAGTGATGGAGTACAAAAAAACAAACATAGGAAGAAGGAGTTGGCAGTCTGCCAAAGGGAAAAAAGACCTCATTTTGCTAGAGAAGTCCTGCTCTACTTGAAATGTCTTCTACCTGGCTTTAGACAGAAGGAATTGGTGGAAAAGTCCAATTCTTCCATGAATGGGAGGTACGTTGGAGCAGGAAAAAATCAAAAGTGGAACTCCATCTTCTGTAGATACAACTTTAGTGAGATGAGTGACCATTTACATTATTTACATTTAAAAAAAAACTAGGAAGGAAGTCTAATCTGCCTTTCTGACCTGCTGTTTTCAACTAATCAGAGCACCCTCCAACTAAAACATTGCTCATTGTTAGTACCAGCAACCAGCTCAACAGCATCAGTGAAAAAATTGGTTTGGAAGGCGCTTAAGTGTCAGGCCTGGAAGCCATCTTTTGCACTGGATCTTTTTAGCGGGTCTGGGCAGTGTCGCTGTCCATGGTGCTACTCTTGAAGTTCTAGTACTGTACAACGAGTGCTCCACAGCAAAGGAGTCAAGGAAATTTGTGGAGCGGGAAGATCAATGGGGAATTGAGACACCCCCTATAGCTAATATATATGGTGCTTCAATCTCCCAGTCTAGTTGACATGAAAATGCTCAATTCTAGCCTATATTTCGGGGTGCAATACAGTGTTCCCTTAGATGGAAAGAGTACCCTGGTTCTGAAAGCATTTGGATTTTACTTGAGTTTAGCTTTGCATAGGGTCTGACCAAAGTTGACCTGGAGAATCAGGCTTCCTTTGGCCTCAAGACCCAAGTTCTGCCTGCTTTCCTGTAAAGCAGATTGAAATAGAGATACATCTGAATGTTTAGACCTGCGGGAAGTTTCATTAGCAAGACTAGCATTTTACTTTCCTCTATCAGCATCCCTTTACTTCTCCAAAGTTGATTAACTTTTAGTAGAGTTGACCTACAGTATCGGGAGATCAATTAAACTTCATAATACATGCTCATTTAATTTTGGTTTGATTGATTGCTGGGTTTGCCATATTCGAACCCAGATGATTTGTTAACATGGGTTATGTAATGTGCGGTCCGCAGATAGCATGTTAATTCAATAAATCAGTGCAAAGTACTGTAGTGTAAACCCTTCTACTGAACTAAAGAAGCTTCTTGGATGAGAAGCGAAAGGTTTTCAAGGAAAAGAACCAAGAAAGTCTAGTTGCTTTTTGGAAAAGCACCTTTGGGACCCTCTAGTCAATCCAATAGTTTATATCAAGACAACAAACCCCTCACAGCTCAGGTAGGACCACCAGTGCAGCCCAGGACGCAACCTCACCCCTTCCCCACCCTAAATCAACAGCCCGCACTCGGAAACCGTTTGACGCCCAAGAAGTTTTATTTCATAAACAAATGTCTTCTGCGAAGGCGCCGGAGTTGGGGCGAGCGACGCGGGGCGATTCAGTTGCTGGATTTGGCTCAGAAAGGCGAGGATCTCTTGCGCGCCCTCGCTGTCGGCTTCACTTGCCTACCGAGTCCAAGAGTTGACGGTTCAACTCTGCCTGGGCTTGCTGGCTCTGCGCCCGGGAGATCTCCATCATGTGGCGGAGGAGGTGGAAGGTGAGGTCGATGGAGAGCGGCGGCTCGTGGCGTTTGAGCCGGTCGCTCAGTTCGGCGAGGCGTCGACGCAGCTCTCCCTCCGGAGAGAGCCGGTGCAGAGATCGCAGCAACAGGCTCGCCACGTCTGGCTCGGGAACAGGTTGCAGTGGCTGGCGGGATCCGGCGCGGTTTTCCTCGGGGAACCACAGCCGCAGGGTCAGGTCGCTTTCCGCGCTGCCCTCGAGGTCGACCGCTGGTCTGGCTCCGAGGGACACTTGCAAGACCAGAAGGAGCAGCGAGGCCAGGAGGCTGGGCAGCTGCGCCCGCCTCATGCTGAGGCGGTCCGGGCCTGGTAAAGGAGACAGGGAGGTCTTGGAGAGAGCGAGACCCGGACAGCTGGTACTGCCAGGGTCACCCAGGAAAGGGAGCAAATAAAACCACCGACCTTCCCACTAAAGTTGAGGAGAACCTGGGGAACCTGGCTAAGGTCTAACCTAGCTAAGGAAGAGCCTGTAGTACAGTGGACTAAGCACTGTTATTAACATCTGCTGCTTGCAATTACTGCAAGTTTAAATCTCACCAGGCTCAAGGTTGACTCAGCCTTCCATCCTTTCCAGGTAGGTGAAATGAGGACCCAGATTGTGGGGGCAATAAGCTGACTTTGTATAAATATACAAAAGTATGAAGGCTATTGCTTAACGCATTGTAAGCCGCCCTGAGTTTCCGGAGAAGGGCGGCATATAAATTAAAGCAAAAAAAAAAAAAAGGTCTACTTGAGAGATGCTCTCCTAAGCAACCGGACGGAGGACAGCATCCCCAGGACATCTCCAGCCCTCTCTTGGCGATCCAGTGCCAGTAGGGGGTGACACTGAGCTGGTAGCCGCAGCACCCGAGGGCTGACGGGGTTGCCTGGAGGATCGGCTTAGCCTCCGCTTCTTTTTCTCTTCCCACCCGCTCCCCTCCTGCCTCAGCCTCAGGTGGGAAGGGAAGCAACTTACCGCGATGTGTCCTTGCGGAGCCGGGAAAAGGGTGCTCGGAGTAGCTGGCGGGTTCTTTATATATAGCAAGCCGGGAGATCCATTGACGTCAGTGAGGAACATGGACTGATTGCTGATGGTGGGGGCGGTGTCCCCCGATAGACCCTCTTGGGACCTGAGTCTGGGTGGGAGAAGGTGTCCTTGTGCTTTGTTATTGGGGGCCTCCTGTTTCCCCCACCCCCTGGATTATTTCAGCACTCCTGCAAGTCCTCTCAAAGTAAATTCACTCTTTAGGGACCTAGTTTTTCTCACCTGCTTCCCAGGTTCTCAGACTCTGGTCCTAAGAATGCTGGAGCCATTATTCTCAAGGTCCCTGAAAGTGTTTGTGATTCCTTACCCCCTCCGTGTGTGAGCTCTATCATATAGACCAGGTTTTTAATATATTTTCATGTTTTTTTTTTCTCTTCATATAATCAGTCTTAATACAAAGCCTCTGTCTTCAAACATGCATGAATCCCAACCTTGGGTTCGATGAGTTTAGAAGATGCTGTCTCTATCACTTAAATGAATTAATATAAGACGAAGTTGCGATGAAGTTCAAAACTGGTTGTCAGACAAGTAATTCTGATTAGACTGAGAAAATTCCATAGGAAAGGATCAGGAAGCAATAGGTAGGAATGGAGGTGAATGTGTCAGCTTTAGCTGGTAATCTGTCCAGCATCTTTGAAAAACAGGATCTTAATATACCAACCACAGCCCATACAAGGGAGGAAGAGGTTGTGACTGGTAAGCAGATCTGAAGAACTGGGCAGACTTGGCCAGCCAGTTGAAATCTCTTGAGGGACAGTAAGATAGGAATGGGCAAGAGGTGAAGGAAGACAAACACACAAAAAGACTCCAAATTATGTCTGAAATTTTAATTATTTAATAAATGTATTAATAAATGTATATGGCTATCCATTTGCCAGAGTGACTCAGGGTAGCTAATAAAAAAACAGACATACAATCCAGCTATCAACCACTTCATGTTTTTTCAAAACAGGCACATCTAACATCTAACCCCAAATTTATAAAGGAAAAAACCATTTTTAATACCTTATGGAAGGTAATAAGGATGGGGAGAGGAGATTATTTCAGAAGAAAAGAACTATTATGGAAAATGTACATCCATGACCTTGAATTGCATCTTGCATGGCATGAGAGCAGCTCTGTAGTAGACAAAAAAGCTCTACAGAGAATCATTAAAACATTAATCACTAAATCGGGCTCCAGCTACCAGCCCTGGATGACATTTTCGAATCTCGCTGTTTGAGGAAGTTGCATAACATTCTCAGAGACTCTTCCCATCCTGCTTACAATCTTTTTGGACTGTTGCCTTCTGGCAGAAGATACAAAACAATTAAAACTCGGATCACACGTTTTCTGAATAGTTTTTATCCCGGAACTATAATTGCACTCAACAATGAACTAAAGGGCCACCATCAGTGAGCTATTGGACAGCATTACTTGGTCTGTTGTGTGGATGTTTGGGTGGTTTAGGGGTGGAGAACTGTGGTGGGTGGAAGTGTGTTTGGGGATTGTTATGTGTGTTGGACCTGGTCTTTGGGTGTTAAGTGAATTTCATTGTATGGGTATACTGTGTATACATGTACAATGACAATAAAGTTATTATTATTATTGAAGCTTATTAAAAGATAGTGCAGTGCACAAACTAGTAATGTTAAATGGGCATATCGTGGTGCACACATCTGACCCACTGCATTCTGAACCAGTTAGTTTCTGGATATTCTTCTAGGGCAGCCCCATTTAAAGGGCATTGCAGTCATTTAACCAGAAGGTACTAAGATCTAAATGATCAGGAGCAGAGATACCTGATCCAGGGGCAGATATCATTGACATATCATTTGACACATCAATTGAAGATTAAAGGCAAAACCACTCCTGGACTATAAATGCTACCCATTTCTTGATCAGGATTTGGAAGTACAAGTACAATTGTCCAGTGAGTCGGACAATTTATCCAAACAAGCTAACAGTAAACAACAGTCCAATCAAGGAACCACCAAAACTACTTCCACCAACATTGACAGGGCAACCCACTAGTATATAAAATGAGAGTAAACCCCACTGTCTACTATTACTGATGACATTATCTAGTTTGGTGATAAAATGTCTGCAAGAAAACAACCAAGCTCAGAAAGCACCAAGGATTCCATCTACATACATGTCCAGAAGCTCAAATTATCCTTCCGTGGACACTTTATGTGAAGATCTAGTTTCACATAACTAGATCTTCTAGTTATCTAGAAGATAACTAGAAGGCTCTAATACTGGCAAAGGTGGAAGAAAAGAGAAGAGGATGAAAAACAACAAGGTGGGTAAACTCAGTTACGACAGTGATGGGGATGCCTTGGAAATGCTGAAGGACCAGTTTAGGGACAGAATATCATGGAGAATATCTATTGAAGTCACTAAGAGCTGACACCACCTTAAGTGCACAAAATTGTGGTTGGGCATATTGTGGGAATCTAGTCATTATGTCACAATTGAGCAACAATATAGTTTATTTGCTTGGATATTAGTTATGCATACACAACAATTAATAGAGTTGGAAGGGATCTTATAGGTCATCTAGTCCAACCCCCTGTTCAAGCAGGAGACCCTACACCATTTCTGACAAATGGCAGTCCAATCTTTTCTTGAAAGTCTCAAGTGATGAAGCTCCCACAACTTCTGAAGGCAACTTCTGTTCCATTGATTGATTATTCTCAATGAGTTCCTCCTCATTTCTAGGTTGAATCTCTCCTTGGTCAGTTTCCATCCATTATTCCTTGTCTGGCCTTCAGGCGCTTTGGAAAACAGCTTGATCCCCTCCTCTCTGTGGTAGCCCCTCAAATATTGGAAGACTGCTATCATGTCTCCCCTGGTCCTTCTCTTCACTAGACTAGCCATGCCCAGTTCCTGTAACTGTTCTTCATATGTTTTAGTCTCCAGTCCCCTAATCATCCTGGTTGTTCTCCTCTGCACTTTTTCTAGAATCTCAACATTTTAAAAATAAAATTATATTTTGTTAGGCTGTTGTGCTTGAACTTTAACACTTTGTGTTAAATCTGACAAGCGACCCAATTCTCGGATGGGATCGCCTTGCAACAGTAGGCACCCATTGCCTCCGTCCTGCTATAGAAATTGGCAGGTCCTGTACATTTTATTTTCAACCCCCCGTTATTATTTCGGGCTGCCTTCCATTGGCTGGGGCACACAGACGGCTGATTTGGTAGCCGACGATCCGAGCTGAATTAGCTTCTCTCTACTTTTCCCCTCCCCGCTTCCCATTCATCTCCTCGTGCTGCTTGGCCCCAATAGGAAGACAAACATCCGCTAGCGAATGCCATTCTTTGGGCAAACACCGGCCAGGTCCGCCGCCGCGAAGCGAGGAAGCGGCGATGATTGGCTGGCGGGGCGGCCCTGCAGAGAGGCTCGACGGCGGGAGGGCGAGCGAGCGAGCAAGCGAGCGTCCGGTGTTCTGAGCCTGCGTAAATAGCGGGCCTGAGAAAGAGCGCGCTTGTGACTTAAAACTCCAGCTCTGTGAGGAGAGACGGGGCTCTGCTGAGCAGCCTTTCCCCTCATCCTCTGAGGGTAAAGGGCAGACTAGCACTCACCTACCCACCCCCCCGCAAAAAAAAAAAAGTGAAAAAAAAAGAGAAGCCTATTTTTTCTGGACGCTAAAGCAGAAGAGGCCTGTTATTTCAAGAATAATAATAATAACTTTATTGTCATTGTACATGTATACATAGTATACCCATACAACGAAATTCACTTAACACCCAAAGACCAGGTCCAACACACATAACAATCCCCAAACACAGTCCCACCCACGACAAATTCCCCACTAAACCACCCCAACATCCACACAACAGACCAAGTAATACCATCCAACAGCTCACTGATGGTGGCCCTTTAGTTCATTGTTGAGTGCAATTATAGCTCTGGGATAAAAACTATTCAGAAAACGTGTGGTCCGAGTTTTAATTGTTCTGTATCTCCTGCCAGAAGACGACAGTCCAAAAAGATTGTAAGCAGGATGGGAAGAGTCTCTGAGAATGTTATGCAGTTTTCTCAAACAGTGAGATTCGAAGATATCGTCCAGGGCTGGTAGCTGGAGTCCGATGATATTCTGGGCAGTTTTAATGATTCTCTGTAGAGGTTTTTTGTCCGCTACAGAGCTGCTCCCATACCATGCAAGAATGCCATATGTCAGGACACTCTCAATGGTGCAAGAACATGGAGGCGGCCTGTTCCTCTCTTGTGGAGACCAGGAAAAGCAGAGGGGCTGCATGGGAGGGCGTCAAGGTCTCCTCAATGCTGAGTTGGGCAATTATGGTTTAAATGCAGGCCCTCTGGAATTTTGGTCTGTTCGAGCACCATGTAGTAGTTTGCAAAGGGCCAGTATTCCAGCAGCAGAGATATGGCTTTCCTTTATTACCCCCAAATACAGGTAGTCCTCGACTTACAATAGTTCACTTAGTGACCATTCAAAGTTATGTCACTGACAAAAGTGACTTATGACCCTTTTTCACACTTACAACCATTGTAGCATCCCCATGGTCACGTGATTTACATTCGGGTGCTTGAAAACTGACTCACATTTATGACAGAGTTGCAGTGTCCGGGAGTCATGTGATCCCCTTTTGCAACCTTCTGAGCAAGCAAAGTCAAGGGGAAACCAGATTCACTTAACAACCATGTTATTAATTTAACCATTGCAGTGATTCACTTAACAAATGTGGTAAGAAAAGTCATAAAATGGGACAAAGCTTACACACTTTTCACTTAACAACGTAAATTTTGGGCTCAATTGTCGTAAGTTGAGGGCTACCTGTACAGCCATCAGCGTTTCTCAATCGCAGCCACTTCAAAACCTGTGGGCTTCAACTCCCAGAATCCCCCAGCCTTCATATCTACCCATCTTGAAATTGCTGAGGTTGAGAAATACTGATCTATCAGAAGGAAAAGTGAATGGCCATTGGTCATATGTTTTCTTCATGCATTTGTTGCATTCTCTTTAAAAGCCTGTTGTCAGCAGGATAGGGACTTCCACACCAACAGTACATTAAATTAATTCATTCTGAACCAATTTTGAATCTGTCACACTGAATAATTAGGAGTGCAATTGTCATTATGCTACCAGTGCAGATGTACCAATTTAGGCTTGTAACTCAGTGCTCCAGAGCTTGCAAACAGTCTTTGCTTCTTGAGGAACAATAATACTCAGGGCTTACTAGATCTGACTTCACTTAAATTCAAACTTTTATGTTTATTCATTTGATTTATATATCACTTTTTGTACAGAAGCTCATTATAGCATACATAGTATTCCCTCCTCTTTTCTCCCATAACCACAACCCTGATCAGTAGATTGGCTTGAATGAAAGTAACCAACCTAAATATCGCTTAGTGAGCTTCCATGGCTGATATAAGATTAGAAATGGGTCTCCTTGATCCTAGTCCAAAACCTTAACTACTGCACCATATATGCATTCTATATGATTGCCTACTTTGTAAGAATTAATTCCAGTTGGATTGGACTAAGCATCCTATTTTTCATAGTAGTCATTTTGATTCCTTAGAATCAACCAAAACCTAAAAGTCAATCATTCTTACATATTACTCATCAACAATGGACATTATTTTGGCTACAACTGTGGTCCCTGGATTTTCCCTTGAGCTTTAATTTGTTCCTTGTCAGCCAAATGAGTCTCTTGTAGTGTCATAACATCTATCCTATTATCTATGGCCAGTCTGCTTAGGTACTCATATTTACTTCTACTTAAGCCTTCTATGTTTAGTTGCAAAATATGGATCTGGAGTCCAATATATTTAATCAGTGAGTTCTTAAAAAAACTTGTTAAATAAAAAACACTGTCCATATATCTTTTATATATATATATATATATTTGCTGACACTTTAAACTAAATTAATTTGTATATTGGTGATTGATGATCTCTGTAGATGTCATACACATCTATTACAAATAAATAAATCAACAATAGAAGCTTCCTAAGAGACTGGTTCAATATATGGAGATACCCTCTAGTTATCATAGCAAATTGCCACTAATAGATCTCTCCTTGATCAATTTTCCAAATTCTTTCCAAAAATTAACTTAGCTGTGTATCAGTTGGGCTCCCAGCATCCCAATATTTCAAAAGTGAGTTCAGCAATAGACCCCATGCTTTGCATTCAGGTGGCCTCAGATCTAGTTCTTGATATGCCAAAGCAAGAGCAGAAAAGTAGCCTTAAAACACTAAAAAGCCACTACAGTAATTATTTACAGTAATAGGCAAAATGGACCAAATGTCTTATTCCATGGCTCAGTTACACAGGATGCTTGGTCTGGTTACTGAATTCTCACTGAGTTAAAATAATGCATTAAGCCATAAACTAATTGAAAATTGGGTTATATGACACAGTAAGCTACGAAAGACCTAAATACAGGTAGTTTTAATTTGGTCTCACACCTGGGACTGGCAACTTGATCATTAAGCAAAGCAGTTGGTAGTGAAACTGCAATTGTAGTTATGATCTTATTTCAGCTTTCCTTTGCTTTATAGACCTGCGAAGTTTATAAATGCAAGGATTGGTTGCAAAGTTACTTTTTCTTCATTGTTATAAAGGCTAATGGTTACTGTATAAGGCAGTTGTTAAACGAGAACTACCGGAAAAGAGAACATTGACGTTTACATATGCTAAGTGTATCCATTAGAGCCAAGTGTATCCTGGCCTGCAAGTATAAAAGAGCTTCTTACGTTCCTAAAGAATAGTAAACATAGCTCATAGAAATTAGTAGTTTTCCTACAAGGCCCTACCAAACACTCTATAGTCAAGTACCTAGATGATTGCAGCATTTCTTGTGTTCTATAACACAGTATATCTACAGTTCCATCAAGCAGCTGTGATAGCTGGTCTGATTATTTAACTGCTAATAGCAGAGTATGCAGGGCAGAGGTTTATTTTGCCCAATTCTCCTTTTCAGAAAACACTTGGAGCTTTTTCACGAATATGTCTTTGTGCAGTTGCATATGCTGGTTGATTGGGCATCCTTGTGGTTGGTATATGGTATGCATTCTGGGTTGTTCATCTGTTTGCATTTCATGAAGAACAGAGAGTAAAGAGAAGCTGCAGGTGTTCTAATAGGATTAAGCATAGTTCTCACGTCTTCCCATGGTTATAGTTTATTGGCTTTCCAGGAAAGATAACTGTTCCAGATAATGGCAACACACTGGACCACAGGAAGTCTGGAGATGGAGAAAGAAGAAAAAGTCAAGGACAACAACATTGCCAATTATGGATTTGAGTGTTGGCGCATATGCATGTAGGCAGTGTCAGAAGTAAAGGAATTTAGGGAAGAAAGGCAGTTTATACCTGTAGTTCAAGGGGATGAAATAGAAGTTGGCAACCTGCACTGCTGGCCAAATCTGAAAGACAGAGACAGCACCATTGGGAAAAAGTTTGATGAAGAACAGCCACCCAATAGGAAGCCACATCTGCTTCATCCCACCCACCCAATAGGAAAGGAGAATCTGATGTTTGAAGCAACATTAACAGGGCTGGATCAACTGAATGGCGAAACAAGTCTATAGAGTCTCTGGAAAATATGGAGGTAATCTTTTCTTCCACCAATCTGCCTAGACAATCTCTCTGCAAGGCTATCCAGAGGAAGGATGTCAAGTCCCAGCAATAGTATCTGATGGCCACTCACATAGTAGTTGGTGATCAGGGCATCAGGGTAGTCCTGCAAGAAAGCAGAGGAGAGACAGGTAGGTAGGGTTGTTGTATGTGTCCAGCTTTGAAGGCTTTATACTGACAGTCCTGAAAGAGAAAAAAAATCCCAGGGAGAAGTTTTTTGAAGTTCTAAGGCAGGGCTGTTAAACTCCTGGCCCATGGGTAGACTAGACTAGACTAGACTAGAATTCTTTATTGGCCAAGTGTGATTGGACACACAAGGAATTTGTCTTGGTGCATACGCTCTCGGAGTACATGAAAGAAAAGATACATTCGTCAAGAATCATACGGTACAACACTTAATGATAGTCATAGGGAAACAGTCAATATAAATCTTAAGGATACCAACAACAAGGTTACAGTCATACAGTCATAAGTGGGAGGAGATGGGTGATAGGAACGATGAGAAGATTAATAGTAATGCAGATTTAGTAACTAGTTTGACAGTGTTGAAGGAATTATTTGTTTAGCAGAGTGATGGTGTTCGGGGGAAAACTATTCTTGTGTCTAGTTGTTCTGGTGTGCAGTGCTCTATAGCGTCATTTTGAGGGTAGGAGTTGAAACAGTTTATGTCCAGGATGCGAGGGGTCTGTAAATATTTTCACAGTCCTCTTTTTGACTCGTGCAGTATACAGGTCCTCAATGGAAGGCATTGAATGCGTCATGCGCTGGCCACACCCATGCCCGGTTTAGTGAAGGGGGAAAAAGTCCCAATACATCACATGACGATGCCATTATGACATGAGTTTGACATCCCTGCTCTAAGGCCAGATGATAGTTCTTCCTAAAGTCAAGTCTAAATCTGCCTCCCTGAACCATCTAGTTTCTCACTGCCTGAGTTCAAACATTGCATCGCATTCCCACACTTTGTTAAGCTGGGGTTTCCTTTGATTTAAGGAATCACTGGCCTTACTCATACAACATACTGACAAGGCATGTATTGCGTCCCGTCAATAAAACTGTGTCATCTGATGGGCCCCAGGAATGTGCCGTCTCTTGTCATGGTGCCTGTTCTCTGGAAAAAAACACCCTGAAATTCACATGGTTTCCACCCTAACCTTACTTAAACAAGCCTTTAAAACTTGATTCAACCGCAGTCTTTGGGCCAGAATAGGCAATGCCCCTTCGTGGGATGTTTGGTGGCTTAAATAACATTGTTTTTTTTTTCTGGACTTTTTCATTCTCACATTATGTATTTTTTTTTTACTATTTTACTATTTTTATTTTACAAAATGAAATGGTCTTGAAGAAATAACTGCTAATCCATGCAAATGTGTTCACAACAACAAAAACAAAACCCCACCCACATGTCCATGGAGTTTCTACCTATCACTTTTCCACCATCATCCAAAACATCTCAGACAGATTCCTGTGTGATTGGGAGTGAATTCAGGAAAATAGAAGTAAGAGATGTATTGGGGGTAATTACTCCTTTTAGATCCTGCCTTGATTCAATATTTCTAAACTATAGGCGGTCTTTCTCAATCAGCTCTTTTCTTTTCTAAGAATGGGTTCCATCAAACTTCTTGACAATGTATTCTTCATGACTCATCATTGCTTAGCAAACAAAGTGTTATAGTACATGCAAACATAAGACATGAGAATTCTTTGATGAACAAGGAAGAGCAAACAGAAAGCATCTTGCTAAGGCATCGTCATAACATGCTGGAAGATGCGTGGCCCCTTAACCAAACCTGCACTGTGTGACTCAGCCACCCTGAGAGGGGCAGGCAGGCATCTCACACTGCAGAATATGACGGACCACTAACCAAGGAACAAAAATAGACATTAAAAAAGCCATTCAAGAGTATGACAGAAGTTGGCACAGTTCAAAAGACAGAATCTTGTATCCGAGGGCAGCCTTGTGGGAATGAAAGCTGCTATGGAAGCTGTGCATCTCTGTCTTTTTTGAATTTTTATCCATTAGATATAAAGAATATTGTACATAAGTGACCTTTTTTTTTTTTTGTGGCTGTTAGTACATGGTGATTACTGGCAACAATATTTTCTTAAATTCTCCAGAAAGATTTTCAATGTAAACCAAAATATTTCTCTAACATTCTGCTTCTACATACTAATGAATTAAACAACTTTAGAATGAGAGGGTAAAGATAATGAATAGATGAATGTGTTACTATTGACTATGAATTTGGAAATTCATAAAGGAGAAAGCAATTTGATGGTTGTAGAGGAAAATTAAATTACTTTTCTGTGAATTGAATTCCATAATTTAATCATACTCTATTTCATTAGTAGTTTCTTTTGTCTATTTGAAATCTCCCCCATTCAATGACAAGGGATAATAAAGTACTATATTATGAGAGAGAGTGCATAAAAGCCTAGCTGGTGGCCCAGTTTTCCTCTTCTTGCTACATTTCTGTTTGCGACTACTCTGCAAAATGTTGGGTAGTGCTGTCTTTGAAAAGGAGATTGGCCTAGAACAGTTTAAAAAAAACAAACAAAAAAACTTGACAACTTCTAGCTGAGAAATTATGGAAGTCGAAATCCACACAGCTTAAAGTTGCAATGTTTGAAAAAACACTGTCCTAGAGAATTTCTTCTATATTCCAGATCAAGAATGCTTACCTGCTCTTGTAGCAAATTTAAGAGCAGCAGCTTTCTTTACTTTTTATTTTATTTTATTTTTTTAAATTTTTATTTATTTTTATATGCCGCCCTTCTCCGGAGACTCAGGGCGGCTTACAATGTGTTAAGCAATAGCCTTCATACTTTTGCATATTTTATACAAAGTCAGCTTATTGCCCCCACAAACCGGGTCCTACTTTGACTTTGTGCTACGTTCAAAGAATAATTTGCATGGATGGCCAATTAATTCATTCAGCCAAGTGAATACACAACTACAGCTTTTCAGCTTCCCAAGAATATTACATGTTCTTGGGAAGCTGAAAAGTGACAATGAGACAACATTGTGGAATTGCAAAGTAGCTTTGCAACAGGGACACTATGAAAATCAGATTTTTGCTTTTCAGAGTCACTGGAAAATGTATGAATATGACATAGATGCCTACTGTAGGTTTGTTGATTTGGAGAAAATAAATAGGCTTGAATTATAGAATGTTTTGCACAAAAACAGATGGTTGGTTGCTAAATACGTAAGATTAGTATATGATGTGAGTAAACCATGCATAAAAATAAATAAGTTGTCTGGATATGTCATTTGTTTATTCCTTTACCATATTGTATTGCTAGTCATTTTGTTCTGTTAGCATTTGTTGTGTTTTATATTGTGACTCTGCCAGAGTTGGCTTGGAGTCAGGTCGTGCCAAAATATGTATGTATGCCTTGAACTTGAGATGGGCAGCAAATAACTTTGATAAATAAATATGTATGTATGAATAAATAAGTAAAACTATTCACTAAGTACATTTAGCATAAGATAAAGATATGTGATAACACCTTGGCTGGAATGTATTTATAGATACAGATAAATGCATAAGGAATGCTTGCATAAGGTTAGATTTAATTATAGTATATTTTCTTTTCTTTCCTCTTACCTCCAGTCTTTAGTTTCTTTTGCACACTTCTTACTCCTTTCCTGCACTTTGTGTAATGCTGTCTATTTGCAGTGGAACAGTGTAATGGATAAACATGCATGTTTTGCACTGTTTCTTTAAGGCAAATTGGCTGAAGAAATGGCAAAGATTTTAAACCTAGTAAGCAATGCTTCTTCTGCTTTTTTGAAATCTCCGTACCCACACATCTATCTTGATGCTAAATTTGGAACTTACCTCCTTGAGCTTGCTCCAGTTCTCTTGCAAGGATAGGCCGTTGAGTGTTCCCGCCAGAGTCAGAAAACAGGCCAGGAAGCAGGGTGCAAATCCAACCTGTGTGAAATATAGATAGGAATACAAGAGATTCAGGAAAATAAGTGAAGTATTCTTGGCCTATAAAACAGAAAAGGAGTAGAAAAAAGATCTCTCAAGGTGGAAGATATAGATACCATGGGGCTCCAGTAGATCTTGGTCTTCCCCACTTAATACAAGAAAACCAGACCCAGAATGATGGATAGCTGAGAACCTGCAGCTTAATTTTTTTTTTTTAATTTTCAATTTATATACCGCCCTTCTCCCTGAGGACTCAGGGCGGTGCACAGCCAGAATTAAAAACATGAAATACAAATATTAAAAACAATTAAAATCTATATAAATTTGGCCCAAAATTTTTTTAAAAAAAACCACAAACCAATTAAACATTTAAAAATTTAAAAAATTTCTTCCTAAGCCAGCCCGGCTTGCTGGAAAAAGTGGATTTTAAGGGCACGGCGGAAGGCACTGAGGTCTTGGATTCTCCTTATCTCTGGGGGCAGCTGATTCCAGAGGGTAGGTGCCCCCACAGAGAAGGCCCTCCCCCTGGGGGTCACCAGCCTACATTGTTTGGCTTGACATACAGCATTTAGTAAACAAACACTGTAATATAGGGGATGGAGCTACGTGTGCACGTATCAAGCAAGAAGGGAAATTCTGCAAAAGGTAAGTTGCAAAAATGCAGAGATTGCAATTCAGTCATGGTTTGCTCTTTCGATTCTCAAAATCTACAGAAAAAGAATTAACAAGCAGTTAGGCAGCCATTTTTTTGAGGGATGCTTGTGAACGCCCCTCCCATCACTTGAATTCACGAGGGTTTCCCTAACCTGATCCAGCAGCATCTTCTGGAGTGCAGCCACTCTGGTTTTGCCTAGCACTAAACGATCCAGGATCTGGTACCATCTTCCAATGACTGGGCCCTGAAAAGGTTTGGATAGCCATCAGAGACGATATTGAAGCAGCTTCTGCTCCCATCCTGAGCGTTAAGTATCCGATTTCTGTTTTCCATATGTCTCAGAAGAATCAACTTTATCGGCTCAAGGAATAGGTCTGGTCATTGCACGTATATCAAAACAGCTGGAGCAGATGTTTCCAACTGAGCTCTAAGATGAGTGCCCCTCCCTCTCAGTACTCATAATTTTCACTTACCACAAAGCAAAAACCAATGCTCATCATTTTTAGGGTCCGCCAGCCACTGTGCCCAGACAGCCCTCTTCTTTCAATCACCTGCTGTGAAATCACATCTCCAGCACCCATGAGGGTCCCTATAATACAGCATTAATTCAGTATTGATCCAATCAATATTCTGAATGCCAGAGAACCTTAAAGCTTAAGGTAATATCTGATTTCATTTTTTAAATGTGTGTGCATGCACGCACGTGTGAGTGCATGCATGTGTCTATGCTTTTGAATCTGTGTTGACTCCTGGCAACTGCTTGGCCAAGTTCCTGCAGTTTTCTTGGCAAGATTTTGGACATGGTTTATCATTGCCTCCTTCCTAGGGTTGAGAAGAAGTGACTGGCCCACAGTCACCCAACTGGCCCTGGTGCCTTCACTACACCAAACTGGGTCACTGCACCAAATTGGCTCTGACCTTTCCTTTATCTATATTATCTCTGCCGTCTTCTCATTTCATGTACTCTAATTCAATTAGTTGCTACTTGTTCAGGGAAACCAGAATTTGCCAGTAACTTTCTAACCTGAATCCTAACAGAAGATTCCTAATAGTACTCTTGTGAGTTCCTAACTATATTTTACTCTCTCTGTTTCTAAGTCCCAGACACAGCTGAATTCTTATGCCTAAATAAGAAAATGGGAATGAGTAGCTCAAGCAATTCCTCCTTGACAGTCAGTTAGAGACAGGGGGAGTTTTGAGATCCTATCACAAAAAATGTGCAGGAGTATCTGATTAAAGCAACTCTCCTTTTGATTTACCTAAGAGATACTAAAAGGCTCTTGCTAACATCCAGAACTAAATATGGGAAGCTACTCATTGCAAAAATTAAGACAAAAGACAACATGAGTCCAAATCACGTCTTTTTTTTTTTTTTTTTTACTGAAGTCTAGTCTGGGGAAGGGGGCAGAGCATTTGGTCCAGTGACTTCCAAAAGTCTCTGCCAACAACTCTTGACGTCAAGCCTCCCTCCTTGGGTAAGACTCAGCCAGCTGGCAGAGAAATAAGCCACAATGCTTGGAAGAGCTGTCAGTCTCTCTCCTTCCCTTGGAACTGACTGAAAAGGTGCAGCAAGTGCTAAGAGTCAAGGGCAAAAGAGGAGATCCAGCTAGAGTACCACTTGTACAGAAGCTGTCTCAGTTTCCTCTATGAGTTTCCAGACTCTCAGGAATCTGCCAAAAATACAAAGTGATTTCTTGGCTTTCCAGATGAATGCATCTGTTTCAGTTACTGATCAGCTCTATTAAATGAGAGCCATCATACTGCAGAAAAACAAACCCAGAGAAAAATTGTTAGGTGCTGGGGTAATACTTCAGAAAGCCTTGTCCAGAGGATGTAACATCACACACAATTTATACCACACAGGGAAGTAACACCATGCATATGGCTATGAAACCATTCAAAACAGTCAGGGCAAGTTTCCTCCTGCACAGTAGAAACATATGAAGAAGTGGAGTTAAGTTAACGAAGAAGCCATATACTGTTGGGTGAAAAAAAATGAAGACAAGGTAATTTGATTGTTGCTAGGAAACTAACGACCAGTATTTCAAATATTGACCACATGAAGAACTAACTCTTGGTATTTAAGATTCTCTTGTTCAGGTGCGCAAATTTCCTTGGTTGAGATATTCTACCCTAAAAGATAGGAACCACTTTCTCTGGCTGAAGTATCAGAAACATCATAGCGCTGGCTCAGCTTCTAACTCATTCATTGATAAATACACAGCTACTGGAAGCAAATGCACTTTCCCTGATCCATTCATTCATTCCTCTATACAAGGTGGGGGTGGCACCTGAATGATGCAGTTGGCAGGCTTGCTGAGTGTAATGGGATGAGTCTCTCTCAATGCCAGCTACATCACAGAGATTGACGACTCTCTGGGCGATGACTTCACCTACATGGAACTTTGGGGGTCTGCCAACTCTGCTTGCTAGTCACCCCTACAACAAACAGGCAGATTCCATTACACCTGATGGATGGCTCTGGGACGAAGTTGTCAGCAAGAAAAATTAGGGAGGGGAAAGATGCAGGAACACAAGCATTAGCACAATGCTTCCAGAACTTGTTTAGTAAAAGCAAATCCACAATGGCTGGGTATGTTCACATTTAATGAAATTAAATGTAGTAAATTAAATGTGCAAATTCAAAGCTAATCAGATCAGGAAAAGACCTAATTTAATGAAATTAAATGTAGTAAATTAAATGTGCAAATTCAGACCTAATCAGAGTAGGAAAAGACCAAGCACGTAGCTTTATAAAATGCTAATTTTTTAAGTTAATGTTAACCTTGATTACTTGTTTTTTGCTTAGCATACTGTGTGAAATCAGTTCACTGGTTAGTTTATAGTTTAGTGAATTATACAACTCAGAAAATAGATTAATTTATTAGCCAGGTTTGCATGTACGTAGCCACTGGGGCCCAACAAATGCAATAAACTAGTATTGAGGACTGACCCTGCTTTGTAAGGAACTCCAAATCCGTCCCAAAGGTGCTTTTCTTCAAAGGGCAACTGGACTGTCTTTTTTTTTCCTCTTTGAAAACATTTCACTTCTCATCCAAGAAGCTTCTTCATTCTAACTAACTGATGGGGAATGGAAATGGTTTTATATTTTTTTCAATCATCCAGTTATTAGCACTCTGAGAGTTGTTGAGGCCACTTGGAGGTTCAGGGTCACCTGAATCAGAGTGCAAACAAGTGTGGAATTTTTTTGGGACTGCTGAAAGGACTGTGTTGTAAACAGGAGACGGGTAAACAGGAGACGGGTAGTATTGTATTTTTCCCTCTCTGTTGAGGGAGGATATTAATATAGATGGCCTCTATGACTCCCCTTTCAAACCAGTGGCCTTCTCTGTCCAGAATGTGACAGAGAAGGCCACTGAACTTGGTCTTTGGATGCTGAATTACCAAAGTCTCTGAAAAATTATCCATATTGGGGATATTTCTCTCAGTTCGTTTTCTGCTAGGAGTAGCGAGGGATTTTGCAAGAGGAATATGAAGAACAGCATCCTTGACATAGGTCAAAGCCATTTATGCAATGTACTGTAGAAATGTAGCCCCAACAAAAGGCATCAGAAACTCTTTCAGGAGACAAATCCTAATGATTCAGCAAATTTCATTTTCTGTGTTCATACAATACATGCAATCATAAACTAAAGAATGATGAGCCTATGAAGCACAGCATGCGAAAGAAGGAGAGTGTTAAAACTAACCAAGCCTTCCATGCTATTTACAAAAATCTGCTAGGATTTAAATGACCTGATTAAGTATCTTCTTAGACACAATCAGCAAAATCTTAACATCAGTCTTTCGGAAGCCACAATCAATTCCTCTTGGGTTTTCTTAGTTTCAGGATTGTAGGATAATCTTAAAAATAATTATTATTTTACTTTAGCAAATGCCTGAAGTGGTAGTAACAAAATGACTCCTCAGAGGAATGATTCCTCAGAGGAATGGCAGAAAATCAGTATAATAATTAGAGAACCCTTCTCAATTTCAAGATCCTAATTTCCAAGTTTCACACCCTGCCAATCTTTAAACTCTGAGTAAGCAGTGAAGTGAGATCCCATCCTGAGGCTGAGGAAAAACTATTTAGGTTTTTGCAATAGCAATGTCTTTTTCCTGGCTCTTCATAGTTCGCGAGCCTCTTCTATATTTTGCAGTAGGTATCATTAGATGACTTTTGAAAATTGTTCATTTTATTGGCTTACAATTGTAAGAATTTTATTTGCCTGTTATATTATGTTTGTGATCCCAGTTTATTGATGTAATGGTTAACTATATACCAGTTACTGTTTTATTGTATTATGATTGCCTGCTTTTCATTTTAACAATTGTTAAATCATTTATGTGTCTTACCCAAAGGTACTTTTTTTCAAAAGGCAACTGGACTTTGTTTTTTCTTTGAAGACGTTTCACTTCTTGGATGAGACATGGGACAACCATGACCTGAATGGCTGAAAACCTCCATAGACATTACGTGTCTTATGTAACTTATTTAGCGAGAAAGACATTCCGAAACTGAATATAAATGTAGAAACTAACAAAAATGTTGTTTATGCTGCTGCCACTCTCTAGAAGACAGAAGCATACAAACTTTTCAGTTGATACATTGGAGGCACATTTATGTATGTTAGATTCTTGTTATGAGAACTTCCACAAAAGGAAGTGACTGTGATCAGCCAGTGGTAGTGAACAACTGGAGGAACAAAGGAAGACAGCAAGCAGCCAGAGAAGTAGGGAAGCACCCTATTCCTTTCCCAGGGCTAATGTGCTTTAGCTCCTCTTACCAGCTGTGATGATTTGCACCTTCCAGGGGTGCTGGACCATCAATCTCTGGTAGGTTCTCCAAAAGGTTGCCATATCACCTAACACAGCTTCTGTAGTACAGAGAAGTGAAAAAGACATTGGAGCACAAGTTCTGCCCAACAATGCATTATGATTAGCAGTACCATTCTCTATAGCACTGAAGAAATATTAGATGATCAAAATGGCCTAAAAAAACTGCCTTTTTTTTCAGAAGGTCAGATATTTTACTTCATATTGTTGGAGCAGTAAAATGACAGTGGAACTAACGAGCACAACCAGTGAAGCAGGACCCAAGCAGAAGCCGAACAGCTTCACTCTGATTCTTCACTGAGTATGACATTTGTTATAATGACTCAAATGGCTCCTTCCAACTCTAGGATTCTATGAAATGCTTTTCTTCTATCTGTAATGTCATGCTGTTGCGGTTTACATTTATCTAATAGTTACACTAGTTCAAATATTATGAGTGTCTGCATTTTCCATACATTAAATGTGTTTAAAGAGCACGATTATCATGCCTGCATACATAAAAAGTGTTATTCTTGTTCTTAGGAAGCGTGTTGATAGTATGTGTGTTTTCCTGGGAATAATTATATGTTTATTAGAAAATAAATTACCATAGGAAAAAGACAATTATAACATGCAACAGCTGACTGACCCTGTCACTGATTCTCCATTGGGCTTGCCTCAGTAATTCAGCTCTGCCTTTGCATGCTGTCAAACAGGCTTTATCAATAGAAGAGACTAGTTGTAGCTTACAGTAGAATTGCTGGGGTCCTTTGCAGAGGTGAAATCCAGCAGGTTCTGGAGAACCGGTAGCGGAAATTTTGAGTAGTTCGGAGAACCGGCAGCGGAAATTTTGAGTAGTTCAGAGAACTGGCAAATACCACCTCTGGCTGGTACCAGAGTGGGGTGGGAATGGAGATTTTGCAATATCCTTCCCCCAGGAGTGGGGAGGGAATGGTGATTTTGCAGTATCCGTCCCCTGAATTGGGGTGGGAATGGGGATTTTGCAGTATCCTTCCCCTGCCACGCCCACAGAACCGGTAGTAAAAAAAAATTGGATTTCACCACTGGTCCTTTGGTGCTCTCGGAGTTTGGTTGCCGATGTTTCACTATCCAACTAGGTACCTAGTTACTAGTTCTCAGGAATCATGTTGATAGTATGTTGATACTAGGTACCTAGTTGGGTAGTGAAACGTCGGCAAGAAAACAAACTCCGAAAGCACCAAGGACCCCAGAAACAGGCTTTAAAAAATGAAGAAAGAAAGAAAGCATCTCACGCTTCTTATTTTAATACATTGCACCGGAACATGCCAACTAGGATGCTTTTTTTCGGTGCACAATCGCATCTTCTAATTTCCCTTCCAGTTTCATTACGCCTCTGAGAAAGTTAACCCATCACAAGGCAGACTACAAACCTACCCGCGACGGCTAGGCAAAGGAAAACATCCACTCCCCGCCCGCACCTTGCAAAATCAGCCGCCGGAGGCCGCACAGACGCCGGATATATATGTATTACTTAAAGAGACTTTTCTCACGCCTTCCCGGCTTTGAATAATCCCAGTACGGGAAGGCACGTGGCTCCACCGACCTCAAGGCGGCAAGAGATGACGCACAACGTTCCTGAAGCGCCTATTGGTAGAAAGAAACAGAGGGACGGAGGGAAGAATATACACGCCTCGCAACCCGAGTAGAACTACGAATTAAAGAGACCTCTAGAGCAGTGTTTCTCAACCTTGGAAGCTTGAAGATGGGTGGACTTCAACTCCCAGAATCCCCCAGCCAGCGCTGCTGGCTGGGGGTTTCTGGGAGTTGAAGTCCGCCTATCTTCAAGCTACCAAGGTTGAGAAACACTGCTCTAGAGCTTCTCAGTCATCCAGGTCAGGGGTCTCCAACCTTGACAACTTTCAGATTGGTGGACTTCAACTCCCAGAGTTCCTCATGCAGCTTTGCTGGCTGAGGAACTCTGGGAGTTGAAGTCCACCAGTCTTAAAGTTGTCAAGGTTGGAAACCCCTGATCCAGGTTATGGTTGTCCCAAAGGTGCTTTTTCAGGAGGCAACTGGATTTGGTTTTTTGTTTTGAAGACGTTTTGCTTCTCATCCAAGAAGCTTCTTCAGCTCTGACAGGATAGTGGGGAATGGAAGGATTTATATTTCTTGAAGACAGTTGGTAATTTGCATCCAGGAGAAGCAAAACGTCTTCAAAACAAAAAACAAGGAATTCTAGTTGCCTCCTGAAAAAGCACCTTCGGGTGATGGTTGTAGACTTTTAGCTATACAATTTGGGATGAACACCCTTGGAGTGGTGTGGGAGTAGGAATGGATTTCCACAGGAAAAATTGCAGACTACAGGAACCAGGAGTACTACTCAGGTGAGCCTGAGGACACAGATAAACCTCCAAGTGCTTCAACGACCCTCTGAAAGGATGCAGATTACATCTGTCTGCAAGAATCATTAGAATTTTTGACCAATTTGATCTAAGGCAGCAAGCTAGAAACCAGTGTTCTAGTCCTGGCTTAGGCATGCAAGCCAGCTGGATGACTTTGGGCAAATAGATTTGGGCAAATAAATAAAATTCCTTGATAAATAATGGGAAATATGTTCCTATAAAGCAGTCTTTCTCAACCTTGGTAAGTATAAGACGGCTGAGGAACTCTGGGAGTTGAAATCCACATCCTTAAAGGTTGCTTGTAGAAGTAGTACGTAATTCCTATTGCACTGTTGCCATCACTAAATCTTCTGAAACTCCTGATTTGTTTATGAACATGGTTTAGTGGAATATGTGGAGAATATAACTACAATTCAGTTGATGGGTTGTTTGGAAACTATGAAATAATATTTATTGCTCAGAAAGGTCATCTGAAATTAGCATTTTTTTCTAAATTAAACAATCTTGCTATTGAAAAATTTCAACTTTGATGCACCTTTTTAATTTTTCAAAAGAATCATTACCATAATCTTATAGAAGTATTCAGATTTAGCATTGTATTTGTTGTGATTTAAATTGCCTAGTGTTACAATATTAAGTAAATTCTTGGAAATGTCTCTCCTAGCCAAATTAGCTATATGGTTCTCGTTCCCAGCAGTCTTTCATCTAACTAACTCAGACCAGGGACCCAAAAATTAAATTTCTCCATTAACATCATGAATCATTGACTTGCAGTATTCTTCTTTTCCTTTCCCTATGGATTGAAGGATGGATACCAACTGAGCCCCCAAGGTTTTGAACGTCCTTCCAAAGTTAAAATCTATGCTGATACAGCAGGGGTGAAATCCAGCAGGTTCTAACAGGTTCTGGAGAACCGGTAGCAGAAATTTTGAGCAGTTCAAAGAAACGGTAGTGGAAATTTTGAGTAGTTCGGGGAACCGGCAAATACCACCTCTGGCTGGCCCCAGAGTGGGGTGGGAATGGAGATTTTGCAATGCCCTTCCCTGAGGAGTGAATGGGGATTTTGCAGTATCTTTCCCCTGGAGTGGGAATGGAGATTTTGTAGTATCCTTCCCCTGCCACGCCCACCAAGCCACACCCACCAAGCCATGCCACGCCCACAGAATGAGTAGTAAAAAAATTTGATTTCACCACTGTGATACAGTTTCAGCTGTTTTCATGCAGTATCATGCGTTCACATGTGTTATCAGGATGGGATTATAATCATCAATAGACTTGATAAATCTTGAAAACTGTCACACCCTTGATACCTGTTCTTGGTTAAAATAGCACACCTTAAGAACCAGTGAGTTTTGTCAGCATGCTGCGTTTCCTTAGCACAGGAACTCAATGGGTAACTGTGGGCCAATTATTCTCTCTTAAACCAGCCCACCCACTCCATATGGTGCAAATAGTTATTGTGGGGAGAAAAGAGAGGAGAGAGAGCTTGGATGCCACCTTGAGTTACTATTTGGAAAACAGCATATGACTGCATCTAATGAATCAATCAGTAATACATTTTCTTCCTGTTTCTTGCATCAGTGAGTCATCAATTGTGATTCTTCTCTTTTTCTACTTATAAGGTAAGGCTATATCCTGTTTGCCCTTCAGGGATCCAATGTGCTGCTGTCCATCCAGCAATGTTTACCTGCCTACCTACCTGCCTTTCTTTGCAAGAGTCTCTCGGGGTATGAAAGGGTTACCCTTTCTCCTTTCATTGATTTGCAGTAGGACATGTATTCAGTTTCTTTTTGAATAGTCCCCCAAAATACAAGCAATCAGCACAGGTTGTATTCAATACTTTTATTTTTCTTTAAAAAAATCCCAAAGGCGTCAGTTTGGTTCACAGATGAGAAGAATGCTCACATGATAGCCAAGTCTGCTTTCTCAGCCTTGGAAAAACAATTGTAGTGGTATTCTGCATAGCCACTGACAGACAAATAGCCCCCCGCCCCTCCTTTCGCCTAATGGATAGCATCCAAATGAGAGGAGCAGCAATTTGAGAGAATTCGGACCGACCAAAAATAGAACTAGAGAACGAGGAATTGTATCGGACAAAGCATCTCCCTAGCACAAATTCCAGAAACAGGGCTGTGGAAGACAAGAACCGAAGAGAAAGAAAAAATTAAGCTACCTTTCCTGAGCTTCTGATTTTTGCTCTGTCACTCCTGATGTCCTTGGCAGAAAGCCTGCCCCACCAAGAGTATTATTTGGTCTTTGGTAGCACAAAGTGAGCATAAACCCAGTCAGATAGTATCAACTTGCATATGAGGTGAGACAGCTGATCGAGGGACCAAAATTTAATCCCTCTTCATGTCCAGTCTGGGCTGCAACAGACAAGGATCAGTACCGACCAAGCACGGTGGCCAAGAGTGCCATGCGGATATACATGCCGTTCTCTGCCTGCCGGAAGTAGGCTGCCCGGGGATCCGAATCCACCTCCACGCTAGAAAGAGATGCCAAGATAAGGATTATCGTTCACCACCACCAAATTTACAGAAGCTTTCCCTCTCCTCCCTTGCCTAGTCTCGTAAAAGAGACCATTGCTTTATTCAATAAGAATGGTAGTTTGATCAAACAGAAGTGCTTGTTTTTGATAGGACGTTCTGAACTAAGGGTTTTGATGTCCATAACAACCTTAATAACCCAGGAGTTTTAACTTGACCAGAAGTAACATTTTGTTCCACTTTTCAGATGGGAGATAAATCAGGGGTGAAATCCAGCAGGTTCTGATAGGTTCTGGACAACCGGTAGCGGAAATTTTGAGTAGTTTGGAGAACCGGCAAATACCACCTCTGGCTGGCCCGAATGGGGCAGGAATGGAGATTTTGCAATATCCTTCCCCCAGGAGTGGGGAGGTATGGGGATTTTGCAGTATCCTTCCCCAGGAGTGGGGAGGTATGGGGATTTTGCAGTATCCTTCCCCTGGAGTGGGGTGGGAATGGAGATTTTGCAGTATCCTTCCCTTGCCATGCCCACCAAGCCATGCCCACCAAGCCACACCATGCCCACCAAGCCATGCCCACAGAACTGGTAGTAAAAAAAATTTGGATTTCACCACTGAGATAAGTGTGAGCTGCTGCTTACCATTCCCCCAGCATCAAGGATTGAGCCTTTTGTGCATACAGGCTGGGTGGAAAACTCCTGGAAGAAAGTCTTACCCAAGTGTAGCATATTTTGTATTTCAGGAGAACATAAATGAGCTGAGGTAGGATTAGCTCCTTCGCACCTGATTTCATTGACACGGGGCATTGGATGCATCACCACCATCTTCTTCTTGGCCCGGGTCATGATATGCGGTGTCAAGATAAACTGCCCAAAACACTAGAGAGAAAAGACTTGGATGAGTTCTTGGTTGTTAGCAGCTCTATCCCATGCTCAGGGGAACTGCCCATTTCTGCAATGCCACTTTTCAGGTGGTTTCAAAATACTCAGCCCTTGTGTTGCTCCAAGTAGTCAGGATCCAGAAAATGAATTTAGCTAGAGATTCCACATTTTGAGCCCTCAGAAAACATGGGTTCAACCTAGTGGTGGGTTGCCCCCGTTCGCACCAGTTCTATAGAACCAATAGTAAAACCGGCAGGAGGCTCTGCCCACCGACCCCGATGTCATCAGAACGCTTCTGCGCATGGCCCCGCTGCAAACCCGTAGTAAAGGTAAGTAGAACCCACCCCTGATTCAACCCACTGAAGTGACCAAGCCTAGGATTTGCCAAACTGACATACAAACTAGGCAATTTTCTATGTTTCTCAAATAAATTAAAAAAATAAATGAGGTCTGAAACAACATAGTAAACTGAAACAAATTAGCCTAGTATATTATGTGAATCCAACATGTGTGTCCTTAGCTAAAAAGCAGGATATCTTTCTCAATAAAAGGGCAAGAACAGGATCTTCTCTTTCTTTCTCTTCTACTAGAATATATTCTGATGCTGAGGGGAAACATAGGATCTTGTCGCTGCTGGTTGGGACAACAGACATATACATATAGAGTTATTTTCTGAGGTTCAGAAAATAATTCTGGGAGCCATTTAATGATAGCTTGTTCAAGAAATGAATGCTGAAATAAACCAGGATTAGGGCAATGTGTGAATCTAGCCATTTGGTGTAATGACTTGGAGGACAGTTCATCTGGGTGCTTTCACCTACCATCTCATATTCCTGGACTGAA